AGGAACCCCAAATAGTAACAAGCCAATTCTGTTCTGAAGCAACCAACGTCTCATGACACACAATGTGAGCATGTTCCACAAGGTAGTCACCCGACTATCTTCGTTCTTCCCTTCTATCGTACTTCTTAGTAAAAAAGCCCACACGAATAAAAGCTTTAGTGTAGCACATAACCCAGCACACCAGCACTTTCTATGCCCTATTTAATCTATATTATTACTCCAGCAGATCCTTGAACTCTCCAAAACATTCTCGGCCACCCGAGAAGCGTACAATGCTAGCAGTCGATTAAGCGCCCATAAACCTAAAAACAAGATCTTTCTCTGTCTATAGCCGTGCACCCATTTCCCCGTGGGTGAAGAGAGGAGAATTCGTGTGAAGTGTCTTTCCAAAAGACACAACGTGGGGCCCTTGTCGAGGTTCGAATCCACGACCATTCGGTTGTGAGCCCAACAGCCTAACCACTGAACTCATATATCGCCACTACTTGATTACTTTTTTCAGCGAGTCAAGTTCTCCGAATATGGATACCATTCTCGTATCCAATAGGCGTAGAACCTTTAAAAAAGAGTCGGTTTCTTGTTTGAAAACTTGACACAATTATACATGCAGCTACTTTTGGAGAAATGTGTCAGACAGAGGTTTTCTTTCACACAGGTCTATTTAGAGGTCTCTTTCACACAGGTCTATTTAGAGGTCAAGAGTCCTGTTTTAAAATTGAGGTCAGTGTCGTTTATTCTGAGACTAAAAATGATCTTGATAATTGCCTTAGATGGGAAAATTGGAAGAAATTGGACGATGGTTATTGGACAATGACAGAAACAGATGCTTCAGATTCACGACTAGAGTTGATTCTGTCCGGATAAAGAAGAGATCGTGTTCTGTTTTGACACCTACTTTTTATTGTCTGACATAAACATGGTCGAATCCACTCTTCTAACGGCCATCTATATAAAACAATCACCTGTACAAACGGCCACTTCCTAATCCTCACTTGCTGTGTTTTTAAAAAAACACCAAAATACCTTTTGATGACACTGTTGGACATCCACAAGTCAAAGACGGCCACTTTTCTCATCGTCGTTGATATCTTCAACTTTCTGTGCTGTTTTCTAAAGGACTATAACTCGTTATGTGTTCCCCAGGTCTCCCAGGATGAGGTCAGGTCACGTGTCCTGCGCTTCTCCGTCTATGACGTGGACAAACGTCGCGTCCGGCACTCGCTAGGTCATGTGATGATCCAGCTAAAGGCCATCGAACTGACCAAAGGGGACGTCATGTGGAGTGACCTGGAGCCCATGGTCCAGGTGAGAAGACACGGGCATCTGTCACAAGTCTGGCTATCTATCTATCTATCTATCTATCTATCTATCTATCTATCTATCTATCTATCTATCTCC